AGACCAACCTCATTGTTTTTTTACAATAATTCGAGTCTTAAAAATTTACCAGGTAATTGCCCCATCTACATATCTTCATGCCTCCACCATAACAGCAAAGTTCCCAAACCCACACCTCTTTGTACAATATTTTCATCCCGAAACCTCTTGTGTTTGGAACCCTTCTTATTTTTGTCAGATATAAGGCTGCCCTAGCTAAATAATATCATTGTTTTGAGCCTGTATAATACATCTTAATAATGTCTAGCCGCCCAAATCCCTGCCCTTTGTGTAATGCTTTGGTCCTCATGGAATAAGAAAGATTTAGACACATAAATTGTTAGCCGCAATGGTTTTGTCAGCATTACTACATACTAACTCAAAGGGCTACACCGGTTCATTTTCAATATTAAGAAAACAATCCAAATATCTTTAGCATCGCATAGGAATACCACAAACCAAATATTTTGATCCGATTCCGCCTAAAATTTGATGAAACAAATAAGCAGAGTTTTAGTTGCGCGAAATTACCAAAATTTGCTGATCTTAGTGGGCGAGGGGGGGCGTAGCCAACAGCGCAGTCAATACCGCCGAGTAGGCGCAGCTCACCAGGCGCTACCTACGTCATGTTAAGGGCACTTGGGGAGATTTGTTTGCTTGTTCTGTACGTTTTCGAAGAAAGGCTACAGGAGGTTCGGCACATTGATACTTTAGACCCATGTTGTTGTAAAAAAAACTATCTCCAAACTCCGGTCTAAAAACATGCTTTCCGTGCAAGGCTCGTCAATTTATGAGGTGCTGGAGAAATGCAGCCTTCTCCGTTAAGTCCTTATTTCGAACTCTTTTTGTTCGGCTTCCGCCCATTGAAAAGCATGCGGAAAGAGCCTTAGAACGCACCTGGTATCACTGCGCCGCAGCGTTCTTCCGCAACATTAAGTTTGTCTGCTTTCCTCGCCGTCACCATGGCAACGAAAACCGAATGAATAGAAGCACGCACGGTACCGCCGCGTGAAGCCAGCAACAGCTGACGCCATTTTACGAACGCCGTCTGCTAGCCAAAGCCGAACGCGGTTAGTCAGATCAACCGCCACCGCCGGTGCGCCGCTAGCGAAGACGACGAAGCTGAAACACGCCGACGGCGATCGAGCAAGCAACAACACCGCGGGACGACTGCAACGGCGGCATTTATTCGGATCAAAAGCCGCCTTCGCCGGTGCGCCGCTAGCAAAGACGACGAGCTGAGGCACGCCGACGGCGAATGGGCGAGCAACAGCACCGCGGGACGACTGCAACGGCGGCATTTATTCGGATCAAAGGCGCGAAATAAGCAAGAACAATTTTTTATTTGAATTATGACACGTGATATCCAAGTTGGGAACCACATACCTTTGCTGGGTCTCTCCTGTTAACTTTTTACAGAGACACGGGGTGCCGCATTCAAAGCACGGCTCCGTTTGAAAAATATGTGGGACCTGAAAAGGGCCGTTTAGACCGCTACCAGGACCTATAACTGACGTAAGGAGCACTTAACGCGCGGTTGGCGCATGAGTAGTCTTTATGCACGCAGGCGGGCGACGGGCTCAGCGCAGCGGATCACTCAAAGTCACCGGGGCCGTCAGAATCATCGTCCTCCGCACTATAGGGAAGGTCCCTGTCTGCGCCGGGGCTGTAGAATTTGGTGGCCGCAGCGACGAACGACTGGAATCTATCAGTGCTTCCGCGCGCCTTCTCTCTCCTCCAAAACATGAACTTTGCAAGGTGACCAGTGAAATGGTGGCTCTCGCGCCGTCCAGATGGAAGAGAAGTTTTGACGTGGGCCCAGGTGCCCTCCACCGTATTGGTGTGCGCACCAGTGTTCGGGTCGACAAATGCAGCTTGTGGTTAACAGTGAGGTGCGTGAAGCGAGCGTCATCTGCAAGCTTGCGATAGCCAGTCCAACAATCAGTGATTATTCTTGTTCCAGGGCAGACCCACTTGGCTATTAGCCCTAGCAGGGTTTTAGCGTCACGGGTCTCCACGGGCACAAGAAAGCAGCACCCGCTGCCACGCTCCACACCACCGAAAACCCACTGGCCAGGCCTTAAATACCCGCGATGGTACTTTCGCCGCCCGAACATACTCTCGTCTACTTCTACAGTCACGCCTTCGCCGCCAATCGCCTCTGAGTGCGTAAAGACGGCATTTACCACAACCTCCCGACAAAGACCCGTCCAATCAGTTATTGTCTTACTTGCGACATCAGTCTCCCGCTGAATGACGGCGCACAGTAGGTTCTGGCACCAGATGTAGATGATCTTCACGAGTTGGGGAAGCGTCAGGTGCGATCCCTCGAAAAAGGAACAGCTCCGTACCGAGACCTCGCCCCGGCACTGAACCTTGACCGCCTTCCTCTTGGGCACCTCACGACTCATCTACGCACCACACCCCCACGAATAACCATCCGCAGATCTAGCGCGGACTTTCAACGTCATCGCAGCTTCGCACTCTGGGCACGCACACGAATTCAGGAGCAGGCCCATGCCCTGAAGCAAATTAATTGCTTCAAGAGGGTCTTTCATGGCGTCATGAAGATGGCACAAGTTAAACGCCATGGCAGTGCGACGCTCGCCTCTGGAAGAATAAAGCGCTTAGGGGGCTAAACAAGCAGAACTGCGCACTTCTTTGCATTTATTATTTTTATTTGATCCGCCATTTTATACCTCGTGACACCATTCTAACAAACTTATTGGTTAATCGATCGGAACATGTCATCGCGTGACAAAACAACCGCCAATCGTATGACCAGAACGGTTGCCACGGTCGGCATCGCTACAAAGAGGAGAACAGTCGGACCCAACAACAAAATGAAGTAACAAAGTGAATAAAAATAAAAATAAAAAATAAGAAGGGGAGCCGTTCTATAGGCGGCGTGTTCTTTGACGAGAGGTGTTGCTCGAAATATTACTCTTTTGTTTTCGTTTTTGTTTCTTTACCCTAGGGGGTGCCACGACCCTTATTTGAAGCTGATTTGTTAATTCCACAACAAAGACGCGTTGCAACAAAAGAGGGAGGGAGTCTTGGCGTCAGAATTCTTGACAAGAAAAGTAAGAATGCACAAGATATACCGTACTGCAAGACCGTTATACTCTGCACTCGGCGAGGCCTCATGACGCCGACGACCGTTAGGCTATTTATTTTGTTTCTTTAGACTGTTATCGCGACCACTACTCCACCGTGCCTCAGATTTTCGCGCCTTTGATCCCAATAAATGCCGCCGTTGCAGTCGTCCCGCGGTGCTGTTGCTCGCCCATTCGCCGTCGGCGTGCCTCAGCTCGTCATCTTTGCTAGCGGCGCACCGACGAAGGCGGCTTTTGATCCGAATAAATGACGCCGTTGCGGTAGTCCCGCCGTGTTGTCGCTTGCTCGATCGCCGTCGGCGTGTCTCAGCTTCGTCGTCTTCGCAAGCGGCGCACTGGCGGTGGCGGTTGATCTGACACACCGCGTTCGGCTTTGGCTAGCAGACGGCGTTCGTAAAATGGCGTCAGCTGTTGCTGGCTTCACGCGGCGGTACCGTGCGTACTTCTATTCATTCGGTTTTCGTTGCCATGGTGACGGCAAGGAAAGCAGACGAACTTTATGTTACGGAAGAACGTTGCGGCGCAGCAATACCAGGTGCGTTTTAAGGCCCTTCCCGTATGCTTTTCAATGGGCGGAAGGCGAACAAAAAGAGTTCGAAATAAGGACTTAATGCAGAAGGCTGCATTTCTCCAGCGCCTCATAATTTGACGAGCCTTAAACGAAAAACACGTTTTTTTGGCCATCCCGCGTCCTGTTTTTTTTATCCGTAACATGGGTCTAAAGTATCAAACTGCCGGGGGTTCTAGCAGGGCGCTCATGGTTGGCCATGTGACTCGCGGAACTCGCATACGCTTGTGTGCACTGGTGGGCTCCCGTTCGAGCATGTGTCATTGCTGGCAGCATCCGTCACATGCGAAAGAGCTAGTTTGCGACGTTGAGCACGGCCTGGTTCTACAAATCAGTCACGAATGATTTGCGCCAGTTTGCTGAAATTAAATTCCTGCTAATCATTTCAAAACAAGCACTTCGAAGAACCTGAATATTTCTGCGCTAAAGCACAAGCTGCTGCCACCACAGTGCAGGTGTCGTTGTTTGTAGCAGACTGGCAATCGCACCAGGCAACACGTTCCCCCTTGCGACGAGCTGCGCCCGGCTGCCTGGTACGTGACGCCGCTATTTGTTCAACATGGCAACTTTACTTGATTACCTCAGTTCTGCAGCTCCCGCGGAGGGGGGGTTTACCCCCCCGTAAGGTTAGTCCGCGTCCCATCGTTTCAAACGGCATCTAAATTTTCGTTTCAAAACGGTGCCTTATATAGAGTACGGTGGGCTAGACGCTGTGCTTGAAAACGTAAACATTCCACAGAATACCCTGCAGTTACCATAGCAGGCGAGCCGTGGGTGCAGAACAAAGGGGGGGGGGGGGGGGTTACTGCACGTGCGAGCAGCGTCTCGTACCACTTCCGTAACTGAGCTAATCTAATTACGTTTCGCCATGGTTAGAGTATGTACGTGGTGTCGAATGAGCAATGTTGCTCGATACATGCGACGTTTTGGTTTCAATTTGTGGTCAGTTTCAATAAAAAGTTGAAGAAAAAAAAGTTTTTTTTTTAGAACTGTTTAATATTGCACTAGGAATCATGATCACACATCAACTCAAATACTTTGGAACTGGCAGGAGTGGCTCTTTTATAAACATCTGCACACATTCATAATTTATACTTTGCTTGTGATATATTGAAGAGCCTGATGAGTTTAGGTAAATCGATTTAATTGTAGTAGCCAAACTGCTTTTTTTTCTTTTATAGAAAGTGTCAGAGATGCGCAGAAGACTATCGAGTTATGCATGTAGATAGTGCTCGCAGTTAGAAAATTCATTTCTTATATGGAAAAACATTAAAAAAACTAGAACTGAACGGTCACAACCGTGTGTGATAAAATCGAATGGCTATTCTTGCACGTACCCATTTCCACTCTAGAAAGTTTGGATGAGCTATTTGGCAAATTTTTGTTAAATTGATAGAAACACCTGGTAGCTCTTTCACTTCCGTCGTGCAGTTTTGCTTTGTTTTAAGCTCGAAGCAACTTGTGGATAGAGTTCTGAAATAGAAAAGGTGTATGTGATTAGAAGTAAAGTATCTGACGGCCCAGAGAAACACCTAAATTTGCAAACGCTTGGGAATTCTAAAGGCCTAAATTTGCCTAACACGCTTTTGCTCTAAGGCGTTAGTTAGTGGCTGATTAATTTCTTTGGTTTTTCAACGGCTCTTCTCTGGCTCGTGACGGAATTCTCGAGGTGCCAACATTGAGCCACAGACACCACATGCCTGATGCAACATTTACTTCGCGCCAGCAAGGTTGTTCTTTGCCGCAGGCACGCCACGTATGAACCGAAGATCCAGCATTGAAACCTAAATCTGGCACTTTTTTGTTTATTTAGGCCCAAAGTTGCCACAAGGAAACCGAAAAAACGTAAGCAAAGCCTGACACTGGTACTTGTTTGGGCATTTAGGCCCAAGGTTGCCAGATGGCAGCTCAAAAACCAGTGGCTAAGCCTAACATTGGTACTTGTTTGTCGGGACAGGGCCAAGATAGCCTGGCTCTGGCCAAAGGAGGTCAAGTCTGACTCTACGTTGGCGTCATCGAGCATTTGAAGGCCCTAAATCAGAGACAAAAACCAAATTTGGTACAAAAGAACATTGATATCAGTTACGCACGATCAGTATGCAAAGATATACGCACAGCTTGACTTAGTGTAACAAATATTCAAGTAAAAAAAACACTTCATATATTTTTTCATGGAAAACATAAGAAATAAATCTTGAAGTTTTATTTTTAATATCCTGATTTCTTTCTCTAGACATACCTTAGCGGCCAAAATTAATAAGGCCATGAGTGTCTTTTTAAGTGAACCCCAGGAACAAATGCCGCGCGCGCTAATACTCTTTGTTAATGCCTAAATACCAAGCGAAACCGATGTTAGAAGCGGTTGGTTCCAAGCAAGACAGGGGAATATATTATATAGCTACATTGTCACAGAATAAAAGGGCAATTAACTTCTAGAAGAACACATTATAGCAAATGCAGTTACTTTTTTAGAAACTAATTACAAAATGTGTACAAATCATATCAGAGGCATTTGATCATCTCCAAATGCGTGTTTAAATTTATTTTCTTTTATAGTTATGCATCCTTCACTTAATATTGTCACAAATCACAATTTATGAAGCGACGAAAACGCAAGCAAACTAAGCGTTTCTTGGGGCGAACTTGTGCCCAAAACAAAATAAACGAAGTCTTTCGCCAGAGACGTCGATGGCGGCGTAAGAGTAGGATCGGGCAGTGGGGCGTGGCTCACTATTAGTCGGCGAGCGGAGCCCTTCTTGTACATGCTTAGAGTTCTGGAACAATCGGTGTAGAAACCTCGGGGCGTAGAACATTCGGACCTAGAAGAAGCAGTAGGGTTCTTGAATTCACCAGAACGCTACATTTGCAGAACTAACAAAAAGGTGCGTCCTCTCCCAGTCATCAAACCTTGACACTTTGCGTGGGAGTCAAGCACGATAACCATCCGGCCACGGTCTGGCTGCATACTTGGTTACCTACACTCGCGGCATTACTCCCCTCTTCACAAAAAAAAGCATCACCTTGATGCCACACAAAACAAAACACAAAAAAAACAAAAGTAAACGTGCAGTGAAGAGTAACTTCGAACACGAAACCTCCACAGTGCTATCGTGCGTACAACGACTTGAGACGAAATACGTAAACCACCTCGAATCGCGGCCGGTGGCGTGAAGAAAGCTGCGATTCCTTAGGCACCACTTTGCAGTTCAAGTCACCTAGGTGGTGGAAAAGCTTCTAGGGTCCAAAGAACCGTTTTCACAGCTTCTCACTCAGCCGTGGTGAAGAACCACTGTCCACACCCACACGCAGTCTCCTCGCTAGAAGAGAACGTACCGACGACGGAGGTTGTAGCGGCCAGGGTCGCCAAATTAAATGTATTGAATACTGAGCCGGACGAGCTGGCGGACTTTTGAGTGCCGAGGATCTATCTGGGCGTTATCACTCCCGTCGGCAGCTGGCGCATGGGGCAGTATCTATTCCACCATCGTCGTTAACTTGCGACCCTGAATCAGCTGAAATAGTGAAACTCCAGTGGTCATTTGAACCACTGTGTTGTAGGCGGACTTAAGATACGGCAATGCTTCGTCTCACGTCTTGTGTTTTACGTCAACGTACATTGATACCACGGCAGTGTTGGTCTTGTTTGACCGTTTTGTCAGCCCGTTAGTCTGGAGATTGTACGCCGTGGTTCGACGGTGCGGTGTGCGGCTGAGACGAAGTATTTCTTGCGTTGGCTGTGCCATGAACGATGATCCTCGGTCTGTAATCAGGAACTTGGGGAGGGGGGTGGGGAGGCCAAGGCAGAGAACAATGCATTAAAAAAAATACTTGGAGACTTCAAAGGCAGTCTCGATGGTAGGGTTTGTGTCTCGGCGTATCGAGTTATTTGACTGGTCTCGACAGTTACTCACGGTTGCTTTTAATATACTGGAACGGGGTGGTCGGCGGCGCAGTCAGGTGCAAGTGTCCTGACGGCTTCTTCGGCGGTGTCTTCCGTCGTCGCCATTCGTGGCGGGAGCTCGCCTGATCGAGTGCCACTTTCACAAATATTGGCAAGTGCCCTGCTCTAGCCAAGGTGCTCAGCAATGGGTTTGTCATCGCATATTTTTAAATCTTCTTTGTGAAGGCTGATGAGATGCACCAACAGCCACGCCGTGTTGCTGTCGCTGGGACTCATCGAGCACCCTCTAAGTGCTCGATGAGTCCTCGCAGTTCAGGATTATCTCCTTGAAGTGCTATTATCTACTTTATATATAGTGAGCCTTGGAAACACTCGTCGTCGTCTCCAGTGCAAGAGGGACTGGCCTCGGTTCTGCCTGCACTGCATATCAGTCACAGAAATCGGGACCGTAAAAGGAAATCCGCCGTCCGCCTCAAAGGCAGTCGCGCCGAGTACCTCATGACCGAGAACGTACTCAGCGGCCCTAACAAGATCCGCCGCAATAGGGGACGCCACGGGGTTCTCATAACCATGAGAATCCGGGGTCGCAAAGGACCTAGCGCTGCCAGCCTTGACGGCGGACGTGCCGAGTGCCTCATGACCAAGACCACACTCAGCGGCCCTCACGACATCCACCGCAATAGGGGACACAACGGGGTTCTCATAAACGTGACAATCCGCGACCGTAAAGAACCTCCCGGCGATAGCCCCAACGGTTGGCGATCCGAGTACCTCATGTCCGAGACCAAACTCATTGGCCCACCTGAGCTCCGCCGCAAAAGGGGACGCAACAGGGTTCCCTAACCGTGAAAATCCGGGGCCGCAAAGAGAATCTCGCTGGCCGTCCTGGCGGCGGACGCGCCGAGTACCTCATGACAAAGACCATACTCAGCGGCCTTCCCGAGATCCACCGCAATATGGAACGAGCCGGTGTTCTCATAACTGTGACAATCCGGGAAAGCAAAGGACCTCCCTCTGGCCGCCCCAACGGCAGACGCGCCCAGTACCTCGTGACCCAGACCGATCTCAGCGGCCCTTCCGAGATCCACCGCAATAGAAAACGAACCCGGGTTAACATAACCGTGACGATCCGGGTACCGCAAACGACTTCCCGCGTCCGCCTCAACGGCAGGCGCTCCGAGTACCTCACGACCGAGCCCATTCTCAGCGGCCCTCCCGAGCTCCACTGCAATGGGGGAGGCAACGGGGCTCTCATAACCGTGATAATCCGGAGCCGCAAATGACCACTCGCTGTCCGTCCTGACGGCGGACGCGCCGAGTACCACACGACGGAGACCATACTCAGTGGCCTTCCCGAGATCCACCGCAATAGGGGACGCAACGGGGCTCTCATTTCCGCGAGAATCCGGGGCCGCAGAGGACTTCCCGCCGTCCGCCCCAAAGGCGGTCGTGCCTAGTGCCCCATGAGTAAGACCGTACTTAGAGGCACTCCCGAAATCCACCGCAACGGGGAGCGAACCGGGGTTCTCATAACTGTGACAAGCCGGGAAAGCAAAAGACCTCCCGCTGGCCACCCCAACGGCAGACGCGCCCAGTACCTCGTGACCGAGACCGATCTCAGGGGCCCTTCCGAAATCCACCGCAATAGGAAACAAATCGGGGTTAACATAACCGTGACAATCCGGGTACCGCAAAGGACTTCCCGCGTCCGCCTCAACGGCAGGTACTCCGATACCTCATGACCGAGCCCATTCTCAGCGGCCCTCCCGACCACCACTGCAATGGGGTACGCAACGGGGTCTCATAACCGTGAGAATAAGGAGCCGCAAATGGCCACTTGCTGTCCGTCCTGACGGCGGACACGCCGAGTATCTCATGATGGAGACCATACTCAGCGGCCTTCCCGAGATCCACCGCATTAGGGGACGCAACGGAGCTCTCATGACCATGAGAATCCGGTCCCGCAAAGGACCTCCCGCTGACCGCCCCAACGGCGGACGCGCCGAGTGCCTCATGACTGAGACCGTACTCAGCGACCCTCCCCAGATCTACCGCAAAAGGGAACGCAGCGGGGGGCTCATGGCCATGAGAATTCGGGCCCGTAAAGGACCTCCCACTCTCCGCCTCAACGGCAGACGCGCCGAGTACCTCATGACCAAGTCCATACTCAGCGGTCCTCCTGAGGTCCACCGCAATAGGGGGGACGCAAAGGGGTTCTCATAATCATGAGAATCCGGGGCTCCTCAGGTCGTGCGAATAGTTCCTTTTTTAAACAGAATCGAATACGAACGGAATGATTGTGGCACCGTATTGAATACGAATACGAATCGGATAATGTTCGAATAATAAGTATACCACTACTAAAGAAGAATACAGATGATAAAATTAGTCTGTTGTTTAAAAATGTGTCCTAAATCATTGTAAAAACAGAACTAGACAATAATCATTAGAGTTAAAAGATATAAGATTATATATAAACAAAATATACTAAAATGTTAGAATGCTAAACATAAGACAACGGTTCACGCGGATAACAAACATAAAATCACAGTTTGGGCGGAACTAATTGAAA